CAAGAACTGTCACAACCAGAAAAGTCAGACAAAACATAAACAAGCATTAATGAAAACCAGAACTAACTACTAAGTGGAGAGAAAATTTCCTTCCACATACACTGGTCACGATCGGAAGTACAAGAGAGGCAGAAGAGACAACGAAAACAATCTGCATGTAGCTCTCAACTTTTGGTGAATTTCGAGCCATCAACCTAGATGCAAGGGAACTTCCGAGCATTGAAGCCAACATAAATGTTGCAAAGATAAAGCCATGGGGGATATCCTCATTATTTGGGCTAAGAGCAGGTGTCCAGAGGAACACAAAGGTATACATCGAACCTTCAAATAGAGACTGAATAGCACCCAGCAGAGCGATCTTCTCATCTGATCCACAGAAAATTTAAAATGATTTCAGATATCTTCAAGAAAATTAGTCAGTTCAGATTCTTCTCTTTTCAAGGGGAAAAAATTCAGTGGACATATTGTATGGAGTAATGCTTAAAACTCATGTGTGAACGGGATATATAAATTTATAAGATTGCTTTTTTGAAGTATTTATGAGTGGCGTGGGATTTAATTGCAAAATACTAAGGAATTAAGCTTTCAACAGTTCCCAGATTTTGCAGAATTTAAAAAGAGAGAACCGCATGGGTAATGCTACTAAATAATATATGCAGTCCAAGAACGTGTTTCATGCAAAGCTAAAATCCTTGCTAAGCATTGGACTTTCAGGAAATGCAATCAACTAAGAAAAAGATTGATGAATGAAAATCTGAGAGAATACCAGATGCGATGGCAACAGCAGCACCCCTGAATTGGGTGAGCAGATCCTTATTCTCTGATATATCTCCATAGTTCTCAGTCCAAGATGACATAATAATGGCCATACCAATTGCAAGAAAGCATGCAGCGGCATCAAAAGGTGCCACTGGTCCAAGAGACAGACTATCAACAAGTACATTACCAAACAACCCAGCAAGAATTGCAATAAGACCATTGCCGAGGAATATAGCCTTTGAGAATGTAATCGACAACCATTGCTGTTCAAAGCCCCTCTGCAGAAAGGAAAGAGAATCGAGCAAGAAACATGTTAATATTATTTAGAATTATCAACCAATGAGCACAATAAGTGAGAATAATCATTAGCGGGACACAATTACAAGTATTAAGCTAATTAACTAGGGAAACAGAAAAAATTCTCCAAAAAGATTGTTACACTGCATATTAATGAAGATGACATTCCATCCAATTCATAGAATCAGTCGCATTAAGGTGACAAGCGTTCAAGATGGAAGAAGTTATCTGGCTATGATATCATGTTCATGAGTCAAACCAACTGGCAGAAAACTCTTTAGTATTTAACTAGTGAAATAACACTGGAACGAAGTGGAATAAGAAACCAAGGGTGCGTCTATGGATATTTCTATCATTAATTACAACATCCGCTAACTCAATTTGCAAAAGACAATGACAAACATTAGAGCTTATTGCTGTGTATAAGGTGATTGTGATTTCAATCATCACTTGGTGGTCGTTAGAAACATTGAATCCAAAGGTCTACGTTGATAGGTTGATGTAAATTTTATTATTGATTCATATTCGTAACATGCCCAGTTGTTCAGCAGAAAACATCATATAAGCAAGCTAAACAGAATTTAAAGACAGTGGCATGGAATCCTTGCCTTATTGTGCTCTGCAACAAGCCATGACTCAAATGCTGAAAAGAGTAGTGAAGTGGCAATACCTCCCAAAACACGGCCCAACATTAGAACCTTGTATTGAGGAGAATGCTTGGTAATGCAACTCAGAATGTATGTAATACAATAAGTAATGCAAGCCCTCCTTCGACCTCTGAATTCAAAAACATTGATGCATCAGTTATTAGAAAGAGGTTTCCCTCAATAAATTTGATGATGTCAATCAATGTTAGAGGTAAAAGAAAATGACTCACTGTTTGTCAGCAAGAGAACCAACAATTGTACCAAACAACATGGAGGACCCAAAACCAGCAATGAAAAGCTGACCGATCTCTCCTTTACCAAAGCCATACTGACTGTAAAGGTAGTATACGTATGGTCCCTGCAACCAGTCCCCAGCTGTTGCCACATAACCAATAACACATTAGATAAATCATTACACATGATATTGATGGTCATAACAATAAATGAACACAGATTTTCAAGGTAAAAAAAAAAAAAAAAAAAAAAAATTAGACAAAAGGCAGTGCCATTATACACTTTTAAAGGAACGAGCACATAGCAATCATTTCACATCATGAACCGTCGGTGGATCCAGATCCAATGCTCAACCAAAGAGAGGTAAGAGAAAAAATAATCGGCATCTCCAAGACACTTCATCTCAACCTATCAGGAACCAATTACATCTCTAACTGGAATAATTACCGCTATGTCCTCTCTTAGTTCCACCACTTCTCAACGCGAGAAGATCACCGACAAAATGCGCACAACTCTCAACAAAAACCTCAACAATCAAATCAAAAACACAGATCGCAACAAAATAATAACAACACAACAGCAAAAAACCAAACAAATTCAGATCATACCGAACGGAATCAAGAACAAAGATTCACGCAAAGCACAAACACGAAAACGAAAAACTCACAGTTACAGACAACGATTAACAAGAATTGAAGGAGATCCGAGTGAAAAACGGAAGCAGATCTGGATGGAAATTAAGAATCAAAATACGCACCCATCATGAGAGAATAAACGAGAAGGTAATTGTTCTTGAAGGAATTGAAAGCGGAGGGCGTATTGATCCGGTCCTTGTTGTTTTTGCTGAGCTCCAGAGCTGCAACAACTAGAGACATTGTTCCAAACACCAAAAAGTAGAAAATCTCCATTGTAGCAGAATGAGAGAAAGAAGCTCCCCAACGGGCGTCCCTCTTCGTACAGAGTGTGAGAGCTTGAAATGGCAAGGGAGAATGAAGATGAAGGCGTTTGTTATATACTTGGGAGTGTGTTAAATTAATTACTTAATCCCAATTTTAATTAATTTTTCATTTTATTTTTTAATTTTAATAATAATTATAGCTATTTTATTTAATTTAATTCCCACGACTCTTCAAGCATTTTCGAATCTTTAATTGTACGTTTGACTTTTGTGTTAATAAATCGAAAAAGAAATGAAGCCAAGCGCGGCCGTATAGTGACGCCGTAGCGGATTATAACCCACCACGCGTTTTGAGAGCTGATGTGGATTGATGCACACGTGGCTGATCATTCTCCGTCCGATGGGGTATGAAGTTGTCGGTGGGGATTACTTTCCTTCGCGCGTAGAACTCATACGGTGGATCACACGCGCGGGATTGGATTATCCCTCTTTATGTGAATTTGTTCATACGATGTGGATGTGCAACCAATGAATGCAGATTACACTCTTTTTTCTTTTATTTTATTTTTTTAAATCTCCTTTAGGTAATAATAAATAAATAAATAAAAACTTAAATTATATAACCAATCAAGATTAAATTAAAGACAGGCTGGCATGTCATGCTCCTCATAGTCATCTTATGAGCTTACATTTAAAAAATCAAAACGTTTTTAAACGAGAGCTTTATATTTAACACCATTTTTTTTTCTACGATCGAGTTGATATTTATCTTTATTCTTCAAAAATAATTTAAATTACTATCGTATTTGTTAAATAATACAAGTAACTTCGGTTCTTTATATGAACGCTAAGTATTTGTTCAGGATGTGTAACATCCCATCTCCATGATTAAGAAATTCTCTGATAGTAGGGTCACGTTACTTGCTTCTCACTCCTCAAGAACTAACATCAATCTTTTTAATATGTTTTGTCTTCACTCACTTAGTGCAAGTCACCCAAAATATTTATGATTGAGCCACAGAAAACGAAGACGTACTTTGTGTCATAGTTGTACTTTTTCAACCGTGTGACATTGTGATCTTGACATGCTCACACCCAACTTTAAGGGGAACCCAAACCTCATATTCATTTTCCGTCCGATTTTGTGGCTTTGTCAAACCTTAGATGAGATTTGTCTTTGTTAACCAAACATCACTTGTGTGAAATCCAAGTTTGTTCGATCACACATGCCGCCTATGCGTGTGTGTTTAATCATCTAACATCATCTTGGTTCACAATTAACATGACCCTCATGTCTTGATATCATCCCAAGTCACGGGGTGTGATCGGCCATCGCAACTCACTCGGTCATGCCGTCGAGAATAGTTCCATTGTCATTCATAATCTCAGGACATTTTGAACATCCATCCATCCGGGTTCAATCAAGACATTGGCCCTCCCATGTCCATATCATGTCATTTATAGACATCGTACCCAATAGTAGGTGCATAGTTTGAAACTCCCCACACATGGGGTGGGATGCAATACCACACCCATGTCGTCCGGTATTGTTCTTAAATAACTCATTTCTAAGGAAGTCGTCTGAAACACTCGTCCTCGCTATGACACACACATGTACCACAGGGTAGCTCGCTTAAACTGCAGAGCCCAATGGTGGTTTTGAGACATTTCCAAAGTAGCGATGTCGTAGAACGACCGTCTGGTGTCCAATTGATACCAAATTTTGTAAGCTTTCATATTTTGTATAGACGATGCATGCCCAAATTCTCTTTGAAACCTCGATTTTTTAGATTTACGCCCATGGCCCTACTTGGCCATTCAACAAACTTGTATTCGACACTCTTGTCTACTCGTTGCCTTTATCTTGCACATGTCTTGTCATCTTATGTTCAATACTCACTTTATGTGGCGTGTTAAATGATGCATTGTCCTCTTCGGTCGTATCATGACACTCGTTTAGGATCTCACGTGGCCAGATGTGCGCCACTTGAAGGTGATTGCTTCTATTATAGCAACCGGAGAGTCACAACCTACACTATTCTCCAATAACAATGTGACACTTTGGAGTAACTTTCCATCCATTCTTTCATGCCCTTTCAAAGCAGAATATTTGTTTTGTTTTTTTTTTTTTGTTTTTTTGTTTTGTTTTTTGTTACATTTCTGAATTACTAGAATATAATCTTTGATTTTTATAATCAGTTCTTCTCCATAGAGTGAGAATCCAGACATTCTTCATTTTTTCTCAGTCCCAATTTCAAAAGCCCATACAGTTTTCCCATACTAAGATTATCTTTAAAAAAGAAGCGTCTAGATCCGATCTCATCCTCATCATGAATCGCCGATCCACCGCCCGTCCATTTCAATCCATTCCGGTCCCTCCCGTCGCCATCGCCGCTGTAGATTTGCAGAGCAGTAATGATGGATTTTAAGGCCCGAGATGGCGAGCTCCGATTAGCTATCATGATCTCACCAATTTCAGCGGGGCTCATGCTGGTTCCACTCTGAAAAACCTCCTCCACCTGAGAGAAGAGCTTGTGATCCTTCACCCCCAAATGGCTTATAGCTAAAGTCTTGAAGGCCGAGAAGTCACACGCCGGAAAATGAAGGTGCACGTCCACCCGTCCCGGCCTCAGCGCCGCTTGATCGATCCCACTTTTGTCGGTCATCGTGAACACCACCACACGCTCTTCACCGCAGTACGATGCGATGCCGTCCATGAAGTTCAGTACACCCGACGCGCTCGTCGCAGTCGATCTCTTCATCAGATGCCGATCAAGATCCTCCACCAGAATCAACGACTTCGGCGTCGTTTGAAGCAGCAGGATCGTCATGTCGGAGTCGCTCGAGATTTTCGACATATCGATGCTGTAGATGTCGTACTGCAGAAACTTCGCCATAGCCGCCACGAAGCTCGATTTTCCCGTCCCCGGCTGACCGTAGAGTAAGAAACTTCGTTTCCACACACGGCCTAATCTGTGATAATATTGCTTCGATCTCAGGAACTGTTCGAGGTCGGATTTTACCTTATTCTTCAAATCGATGTCCATCACCACTGTACCGAATGTCGCCGGATGTGTAAACGGCACCGCCATCCAACGTCTTGCGCAGCCGTCCGCAGTGATATACATCTTGATTTCCCTCTTCTGTTGTTCAATCTCATCGGATATCGAGAGGATGTGTTGGAAGTACTGACGGAATACCCTTCGTTTATCGTCCTTCCTCAGCTTTAGAACGAATGAAAAACTGCTGTTCTGCCGATGATGATCGCTATGCATCTCGAGTTTCCATCGGAGTTTCGCCCCGAGGAAGGAATCGTGGACGGTTAGATCGGAGTCGAGGCGGAGGACAATATCGCTAGGTTTTGCACCACAGAATAGGTTCGTGAAATTGGAATCCTCCAGAGAAGGTAAGGAATGAAGGTAGGCATGTACACGAAGGTAGAGTTGATTCGGCTGTAGATTCTCGTCGAATTGGGGAATTCTGTAGTATTGGTAGGCATGGAAATAGTCTGTAATTGATTGAAAACCCTTGACCACCATGTACAACAGAGATGTTTTGGCTATAAAACGAAGAACCAAAACAAAAGCAATGGCGAAGAAGAAGGAGGAAGCTACTGCTGTACTGAAAACCGGCATGATCAAGAACAAGAAGATGAACAAACAAACTATGGAGGGATTTGGGAAGGAAAGAAATGGGGATTGGCCATTGAAGAAGAAGAAGATGGGAAGGAAGTTATTTTAATGAAAGAAGATGTGCTATGGGGTTGGCTCTGACCAGGGAGAGTTGAATTGAAAACTTCAGAGGGGAGGATTTGGTGGGTCTAAACTATTCAACAGTGATTTGTTTAGTTTAATAACAACTTGTTTGAATTGAATTTGCAGAGGCGTGTGCGGCGGGAGGAAATGAGATGGATTAGAACAGAGAGATGGGTTTGAATCGTTCAGCCAAAGCCAGAAACGAAGTGCATCATCTGCCATCAAAGGGGCCGCTCCAATACCACATGGTATGCCATTCTGCTGCTCCTCCTTTACAGGTTATTAACAAATATTACTTTCTGCTGTTGTTGGTTGGTTGGGATGTGTGATACTTATCCAAATAGTGGCCGATAAACCTATGGATTTAGTTCAAACATGATATTAAATGTGAGATTCCATATCGGCAGGGGAGGAGAACGAAACAATCTTTATAAAGATATGTAAACCTCTCTATCAGATGTGTTTTAAAAATTTTGAGGAAAAACTCGAAAAAGAAAACGCAAAGAGGACAATATTTGCTAGGAGTGTTGGTTCATTACAAATGGTATTGGGAAAAAACTAAAAAAGAGGACAATATTTGCTAGCAGTGATTGGGTCATTATAAATGGTATTAGAGTCAGGTACCTAGCCGATGTGCCAACGAGGAGAGTGGTTGGTTCATTACAAATGGTTTTGGGAAAAACTCAAAAAAGAGACAATATTTGTTAATAGTGATTGGGTCATTATAACTGGTATTAGAGTCAGGTACCTGGCGATGTGCCAACGAGGAGATTGCAACAAGGAGGTTGGGTAATATTACAAATGGTATTAGAGTCAGGTACCTGACGATGTGCCAACGAGGAGGTTGGGTAATATTACAAATGATATTAGAGTCAAGTACCTAACGATATGCCAACGAGGAGGTTGAGCTCTGAATGGGGTGGATTGGGAGAGGGAGTAGACACAAGACAGTGTGCCAACAAGGATGTTGGGACCTGAAGGGGGGATTGGAAGGTCCCACATCGATTAGAGAAGGGATGGAGTGGACACAAGGCGGCTTACATTGGGCCCTAAAGGGATAGATTGGGAGGGGTCCCACATTAAGGGTATCGAGTGATAGGTTGAGGTGTGCCAGCCATGTAAATCTATCAATATTGAGAATTTTAAATTCGACTAGAGAATATTAATTTTAAGAGATACTCTCACCAATAAAAAACTGTTTTTTCCAAAATTTGGTAAAAGGTTCAAAAGCTGTTCAACGAATTGGAAAACTAAGCAAATACATATGCAAATAACATTAACATTAGAAACAAAATTTTCGTATGAATTTGGATGAATGAAAGATGTCTAAATTCATCTCGACCAACTTAATTTATTCTATTTTACGTATATATTCTTATAGAAAAGTCACGAGTGGTTTGAGAAAAAATTTATTCAAAGTCCAAATTCTTGTGTAGATCATTAAAAAATTCACACATTTTTGTTCCTCAATTTCAAAGGGGACAAGACACAAGCAATAACCTATGAGAGAGCCAAAAGCCAAGAATCAATCAACCAGATAACCTTAGATTCACAAACTTCCATTTCATATTATGCTTTTAACTCAATAAAATTCGAGGATGACCCAGTTCCATACAAAAACTAATGAACGGGTTAAGCCACGGTTCGATTTAAGCAACTTTTTGATTTGAGACAAACCCTTTGAATCAAAGATGTATTTCTTGTAAACCCGTGCTAGTTAATACGAGTTGGGAGAACCATTGATGATGTCAGGGATTTCTTGAATCTCGAGTATCGATTGGATATTCAAGATTTGGGAGACGACAAGCTTGGAGAGTTCACTTATTGCACAGATTGAACCTTGTACTCACCAGCTTCCCTGTGTCCTTCCCCCCACCCTGATGAGTTAGAGCTCAATCCAGTGTATTCGCTTGCAACAACCTTTGTCTTTGTAGATGTAGCAAGAGCCTTTTCCAAATCTGACTGTGACATTGGCCTTGGCTCCTAAAAACCGACACGTTATGTGAAGGTCAGTAACATTCCATGCCCTACTCATAAATAGTGAGCGAACTCTTGCTCGATCGCAATATAGAGACCCGAAACTTCGTCACGAAGACAGTACATAAACCCTTGTACCCTTGGACCTCATGTAAATGAACTATCATAATAATAACATCAATCAAAAAGCTTCATTTTAAAAAATCAGATTGTCTAGCTATCATGTTGCCGATGCTCAAAGGAATACTTTCATGAGTCACTTTCCTTTTCACCGTCCATTCTCTCTACTAGACAATAATAGGCATTATATCTATCTCATACGCTCTTCAAAGATGAAAACATAGATGATCTGTGAGATCTCACATCAATTGAAAAGAGTGTCGAAATATTCTTTATAAGGTCTGGAAGCCTCTCTCTAGTAAACACGTTTTAAAAATGGTATTAAAGCTAGACACCAAGTGATGTGCTAGAGAGGACGTTGAGAGGTGGGCACCGGGCAGTGTGCTAAGAAGGACGCTAGGCCCTAAGGGGGGTGGACATCGGGTGTCGTGTCAGAGAGGATGTTGGGTCTTGAAGGGGGGGTAGATAGTGATATCTCACATCAATTGGAGAGAGGAACGAGTACCAGCAAGAATGTTGAGCCGTGAAAGGGGTGGATTGTGAAATCTCACATCGGTTGGAGAGGGGAACAAAACATTCTTTATAAGGGTATGAAAATCTCTTCCTAGAAGACGCATTTTAAAAACTTTGAAATGAATCTCGAAAGGAAAAGCCCAAAAAAGACAATATCTACTAACATTAGACATGAATCTCATCTCGGAAGCAATCTAAACGATGACTTAATGTAACTAATTGGTTATCAGCTCAAATATCTCAACGACAGCAGGAAGAACAAAGAACTAAACAAATGGGAAGGAAAGAGAATAAGGTGATAAAAGTACTCACAGAAGATTGTTTCCCCTTCTTCTCTTCATCAAGAAGATCCCTGACAGGAAAATAAGCAGCTTTCTTGCATAGTTCAAGAATATCCGAACCCGTGTACCCCTCACACAACCTTGCCACACAGTCATACTCTATATTGCTTTCAACCCGCTCACCCTTCAAAATCACCTTTAATATCTCTGCTCTTTCCCTCCGGTCAGGTATTCCAAACTCAAAAGCTTGTGGAAGACGCCGAAGTATAGCTTCATCGAGTTCGGACGGGCGATTCGTAGCAGCAAGAACCATCACACGAGCAGTCTCTATAAGAATAGATATGACATATCACAACCAAAGAGCTGCTATTATGAATAAAGAACCAGAAAAGAAGTACAAAATAGGCTAACTATGACTAACGATCTGTGGTAAATCCATCCCATAAGGCCATGAACTCGGTCTTCATGTTCGTCATTGCTTCATGATCTGTAGTTCGTCGCTGACCCAGAAAACTATCAACTTCATCGATGAATATAATAGCAGGCTGGAGCTTATAAGCCAAGCTAAACACAGCAGCCACTGAAAAGTCATGTCAGGCAACAACCAATCAAGCATAAATAGTTGATAAAGAACCCCAGAAAAGCATCAACAAGTCCCTAGACTAACCTAGCTTTTGAGCATCGCCAAACCATTTGCTCATCAGATTTGAAATTCTGCCATTAATGAAAACAGCACCAGACTCCTTTGCAATAGCTTTTGCTAGCATTGTTTTCCCAGTAACAGGAGGTCCATACAACAAAACTCCTTTCTGGGGACCATGAAGCTTCCCAGTTGAAAAATAACTCAGGCCTCTTTAGTGGAAGTATCACCAATTCAATTAAAGCTTGCTTGATACTCTCCAGCCCTCCAATGGAGTTAAATTCCACATCAATGTGATCAGGGTTTATAACATCACAGGCAATCACATCCTGGTTAAAATGTAAGTAAGCTACGAGTAAAACAAGAACAAGAATGGTTAGAAATCACGAATTTCTACAATGGTATGATATTGTCTACTTTGAGCATAAGCTCTCGTGATTTTGCTTTGGGCTTCTCCGAAATGTCTCATTCTCATGGAGATAGTATTCCTCACTTATAAACCCATGATCTTCCACTAAATTAGCTAATGTCCCCTCGAACAAAGTATTACTATAGAGCCTCCCCTGAGGCCCATAGAGCCCTCGAACAACCTCCCCTTAATTGAGGCTTGACTCCTTTCTCTGGAGTCCTCGAACAAAGTATACCATTTGTTCAACACTTCAGTCACTTTTGACTACACCTTCGAGACTCGCAACTTCTTTGTTTGACATTTGAGAATTCTATTGATATGGTTAAGTTAATGACATAGCTCATAAGGCATCATTCCAATAGAGATAGTATTCCTCACTTGTAAATCCATGATCTTCCACTAAATTAGCCAACGTGAGACTCTCTCCCAACCATCCTCAACAAGAATGAGAACGAGAACGTAAAAATTCCTTAAGAATTTGAAGGGCAAAACCAATTGAATTCAACTCATCAGATTTCTCAAAATGGAATCCCACATAACCAAATTCATAAAACTTCACAGGAATACAAGAGCATAGATAGATTGTTTACAAAAAGTAAAGAGGCGTGAAAATAAAAGACCTCGTAAGGGTTAGTCTGGATGAGAGGGCGGCCCAAGCGTTTGGCAATCTCCTTCTTGTGCTCAAGAGCCTTCTTGGAGGCCTCACGGTTGGGATCGAGGTGGCGTAGGCCAACGAAGAGAACCAAGCAGCTCAAGGCGGCGCTGGCTGCGTAGAGAACCAATTCCTGCACGAACCTCGTCTCGGACGATCTGCTCCTCACAAGAACGGGTGAAACAGGGAGTGGGCGCTCCCAAATCAGTTAGCAGAAAAATGGGACTGAGATTCCCAATGCCCAAAAAGGGAAGAAGAAATTGATTGAGGTGCGCCTGGAGGGGAAGGAAAAAGTCACCCATTATTCTTTAAATAAATAGATATGTTTGTTCCTAAAATGCCTAAATTATTTTTCTAACCCATTATTCTTGAGCAGATCCGTTGCTACTCTATGCTCCGCTCTTGTAATTGATAATAGTATTATTGGTTCTTTTGCTACACCAAGAAATTGTTCATGAATTGAGCTTGAACACATATTTGGTGCTTGCAGTTTTTGCTTTTTTTTTTTTTTTTTTTTTTTTTTTTTT